GCCTTCCCTCTACTGGGACTAAGCTGCCTTCCCTCTACTGGGACTAAGCTGCCTTCCCTATACTGGGACTAAGCTGCCTTCCCTCTACTGGGACTAAGCTGCCTTCCATCTACTGGGACTAAGCTGCCTTCCCTCTACTGGGACTAAGCAGCCTTCCCTATACTGGGACTAAGCTGCCTTCCCTGTACTGGGACTAAGCTGCCTTCCCTCTACTGGGACTAAGCTGCCTTCCCTCTACTGGGACTAAGCTGCCTTCCCTGTACTGGGACTAAGCTGCCTTCCCTGTACTGGGACTAAGCTGCCTTCCCTCTACTGGGACTAAGCTGCCTTCCCTCTACTGGTTCGAAACTATGAACTGCTAACGTAGATTTGTAAAACAAATAAACATATCTTATTTTTATCTAACTTTTAACTTTCCAAAAGACATGTACAAGGTGATTACATGACAAGCCTACAAAGGTTTTAACACGAACGAGGTAGACCTTGATCTTTTAAATCTGAACTATTATATCTCATCAATGTATTTTCGAGTGACGAACCTTCCAAGAAGCGAGAGTTGTGAAACTAGACGAAAGCCTTACACAACCTTTTGATATGAAATTCCACTTAGTCGAAATAAGATTTAAATACAAGTTAAAAACCCGCGTTGTTTTTGTTTCTCGCTAAGCATAAAGCTACACAATGGGCTTTCTGTCCTCTGCCCAACATGGGTATCGAAATTCGATTTTTAGCATTATAAGCCTTCAGACTTTCCGCTGAGCCAATTCTACTATTTTAATGATGATTATAATCAAATATTGGATGCTCAGTTAAAGTTAAATCCATCTCGTGCTGAGCCGCCACATGGGAGTCTACGCCGGACTCTGGTTTCAATGACACAACTGTGCAACAACATCTAGGACAGGAAGCAGGCCATCACAAGTTAACCCCCGGGTACTCCAGCTAGTATTCTTATATAGTGGTTTAAGGATGAGTGTATATTGGAAAGACTGATTGCTCGCGTCCTTCACCAAGATACTTACTCCAAATGCTCCAGTCTACTCAGCTGTATAACAGGTGCCAAGGGTAGCTGGGGTGGGGGTGGTCCCCTGGAGCTGGAGTACACGTCCTCTGGACGGAAGTTATGTAAATTCATGATTAATGAAAGGTTATCTTGGGACCTTAAAAGTTGCTTCCCTTATATTTAATTAAAAAAAAACGCCCATAAAAACCGCAAAACTGAACGTTTGTATCTACCCCCGTATAGACCTAATGAACCTCCATATCAACTTTAGAGAAGATCCATCCATAACCTGCGAAGTAGTTACAAACAACAGACACTACTGTTCTATTTATATAGAAGTAGTTACATACAACATACACTACTGTTCTATTTATATAGAAGTAGTTACATACAACATACACTACTGTTCTATTTATATAGAAGTAGTTACATACAACATACACTACTGTTCTATTTATATAGAAGTAGTTACATACAACA